GCACTGAATAAAAACACGACAGTTGAATGTAAAAAAGTGCAAATTGCGAACATGTTTAGTGGGAACACAGGACCTGTCTTCGGTTGTCTTGAAATGTACACCTCGTTAAATTGATTCGAAACAGGTGCATCTTCAGTCAATGTGCGCTGCAGTCGCGTACCCTAGGGGTCTCCACGTGTCTCATTCACAAGGTGAATGTACCGTCGATGAATTTATAACATCGTTTATTGGGGGTTTTATTTTGAAAGCATAGAGGCAATCTAGTAATCATGTTTTTATAAGGGAAGTGGAGGCGCGGCAAGTGTCATCAGCAGTGGCGTTAAGTTTTGCTCTTTATCGGGGGTTTACGATTCCCGTTTAGCATAATGTCACATTTTCTATGAGTAATGATCCTACATGAAGTTTAAGATGCCGGAACAATTTACTGAAGAACTAATGAACTGTAAAATATAATTGTGTAGGAACCCTACTGTCTATTTTGTATGCACGGTTGTACTCATTGCCTGTTCCCTTTCGATGTAACTCTATTCATCTACAAAAGCGCCCGTCTCACCATTGCACTGGTGGGCTTTGAAGGACAAAACGACAGACTGCTTTTCAGCGTACTTGGTTCCCCTTAGGATCGTTTCTCTACTTTTCCTGTGCCCTAAAATTGGCAGAAAAGTCAATTTCGACGTGTTATATCTGTCTAAAGTGTTCAATTTAAAAAAAAATGTTTACAAAATAATTGATAGTCGTTGTTCTCTTTAACGCAAAAATATTACTTAAGACTATACGCATTTTTCTTGAAGAAGTTACCTCACACGTCTGTCTGGTCTTTTTTAATTATTACCTCAGTTTTTGGAAGACGTTTGCGACCGCAATCAGTTGTGTTTGCTACAGAAATTATAAAGGACATAAAGGTGGACGCATTATTTGTGGAGGTTGTGAGACAGAGGTTGAGGTTTTATCACTTCGCAGTGCGCTGCCACTTTGATAGTGCCAAAACTGGCACAAAACCACTTTAAAAGTCACTTTATGAAAGCCTGTCGCTGTTGAATCGGGATCAAAGAGACCTTATATACACGCCTATGTTTTCAAAGTATGTTAGCTGTGGAAATGCAGGAGGCCAAAATAAATATAAATGTCCGGGCAAATTTAGAATTGCACATTAGGCATCATGTATCAGATTGATTGCAAAAAAGACGTCTAGAGGACTACCCAACTGTAAATCAAGTCAATAAGTGTTCAGTGTAAAAAGTCAACTTCAGTGTCGTCAGTACATGATATTTGAGAGAACGCTGTCAGCCTACGGTTAATGCTTTAATTCAGAAGGACATGCATATTCTAAGATCTATTTAAAATCAATGAACTATAGACACAACGGATAAAAGTAGGCTAAATGATATTTGAGGTACTTCTCTGCTTACCATGACTACTAAGCCGAACTTCTGCCGTTCCGCTTACACATCAACTACGAGAGAATCCACTCCAGCTCAAGATAACGGTGGCTAGCCCCCTTCTTACTAATAGATTGTGACCAGTATGCGCCTGTTAGATTTCTTCGATGTGTAACCTCATTTGGTTAATCAATCCTAATTAAGAGCCGAAATCTCTGACTTATTATCTTTGCCACAGTCACTAATAATTTTTTAAACCCTGTTTGAATTTAAACTGGCAGCTTACTAAATGATGAGACCTTTTTTTTCTCAGCCAAAAGCTACAATATCACGTCCAAGTACGTCTACTTATAACTGCATTAGGCAACCTTGAGTGCAAAAAACGTATATAACATAATTTCCCAATAAGGACATTCTCAATTCGTTGGGTTAGGTTCATAAACAGATGTAACAATCAACAATAACACTATTTACTCTTGATGGCAATCCAATAAATCTGGAAGTGGCGCAATGTCCAAAGTCAGTACTTTGCATCTTTAGTTTAAATACGTAAATCAAAACAATATAACTGTCTGTTTTTTCACCCACACCTTCAAGTCGATACCCAAAATCGTCTACAAAGTAACGGATTACCTGTCATCTACAAACTCAGCTAATAATGAACAACTGGGCTACAATATTCAAAATCAAAAGGCAACAGTCTTGGTAAAGTAAAACGACGACACTGACATAGGATCCGATCTAGATCCCTGCTGTTTCTAATACCTAACCACAGTGAAACTCAGGAACAATCACTGGAATGCTCGAGTAGAGAAGTTGTCTACAGAAAGATAATTTACAAGTTGAAATTTAACTGTGTTTAACCCCGTTTGAAAGAAAGACATTATGCATGGTGAAACTAATTTCTTTCACTCTAATTTGGTTAATTTGCTATGACCTTATTTCCCCATAGTGTTTATGGTCCTTTTACTAAGAAAAGTAACACCATAAAGAATTGTTGATTAAAAGAGGTAGTTTCCCAAAGCCCTAAATTTCGGGCTGAAACGAGATCGACTGTAAAAAGACATCAACAGGTCACGTGAAACCTTTATCGCCTGATTTCCCATAATATAATTAAGCTGCAGTGATGTTGAATTTAGAATTTAAATTGGCTGTCTATGGCGGTGATGTTATCGTGGCAAAAAACAATGCTGAAGTAACTGTCATTTCTAATAGGATACCAGGCAAGGAATAATTTGTTTAAGTACCAGTTTTTGCCATCGCATGAATGTATATTTTGTACCATGTGGTTCGATATAAATTTGTCATAGATGAAGCCCCTACTGCTGCCTAAGCATAAATGCATTCTCTTTAATAAATTCAGTACCATGGGGAACAAAACGAGAATCACTTAAAATTCTTGCTGCCGCTTAACGTGAAGTGTTTGCTTGCACTGCCTTACAACTCATGAACGATGACAGGCGCGAGATCCGCCACGTGTGGCATTGCGTGAAGGTGCGTGAGCGTGATTACCAAACGATTGTCAACAGCGACCAAAGAAGAATAGGGGAGAGCCAGATTAACCTGTGTACGAACTTCCCTCAAGCGCGTTCGCCAACTTGCGAAGCAAAAATGTCCAGTCAGCTATACCCAAAAAGTGGCGCAAACATTTTAGCTGTGGAAGCCATACTGTATATAACTCACTAGGATTCTACTGACACTCCACTTTGCACAATGGCAATTTTATCTAGGGTAGGATCGAGCATTTTTCCATTTAAACGAATAAATCCTAAATAAAGCCTTGTAATTCTTTGTACTTCCCCCATTAGCTTCATAGCTTTACTAAAAATGCGGCTATTTCTGACATCACTTGGTGGAATTACCAGCCGTGTTATTTCCTGAAATTTTAAGCCACTAAAATGTAAAGCTCTGATAAGGTGAAAACTGTCCTAAGCTAAATAAGATGGCATCTTCTGTTTTTTCTTTTAGGTACCGATAAATTCTAAAAATAGTTCACGATCAAATCTCTCAGGTATGTTAGTTCAGTTACGAAGACGTGTTTGAGGTTTTTGCTTGCTACAGTATAAAAATATGCATGGAGAGTTGAAATTAAAACTCTTCGTAGGCTGGCGGGCGTCATTGGTTTCATGGTTAAAACAAAAACGTCGACACGTTCATGTCAGCTAGGATAGTGTTCTCTGACAGGCTATTCCTGTGGCTATTAAGGAAACTGCTCAAAAGCATCTAAGGTGATAAATTTCTGGGTTTTTAATCAGTAATCAAAATAATTATTGTGGACGACTAAGAAGAACCTTGTGTGATTTATCATATAAGAGCAGAAATAAAGGTTTAGCCGATGGCAATAGCTTCCATGCGTAGGAAATTAGTCGAGTTACTGACCAAGGTATCTTACTTTTACAGTCATTCGTTCAAACCAGTTTTGACTTTCATTGAAGTTGCACTAAATTTGGAGAGATGACAAATTAAACAGTAGTAAATCTAGATAGCTATGCTATTCCGTCTTCTGTTAGGATGATTCCACCTGTACTTTTAGAAATATGTCAGATCGCAGAGAAAATTGGCGGAGTTAAAGTATACGAGAAGGTTAAAGGATTACTACCTAAACGGTGCACATCTTTTTCAGGGTCTTCGCACCATAATATTAAGTGCATTTTAGCCAGTAACCTTGTTTATACACTTTATCCATCTCATGTTCTTGCTTTGGAGATGGTTTTAGTTAGGATATCAATATTAGGAAAAAACCGAATCACTCCCTTCGGTAATTCGATTTTAAAATGCACGTTTATACTGAAAAGCGGTTCGTTTTATTAGAGGGGAAGAAAGTCACGAACTCGCGAGTGACCTCCTCTGGAGCGAGAGAAGGGGGACACGATGCCATCACAGACTTCAGGGGGTGTGTGGAGGGGGTGAGAAAGAACGACTGCCTTCGGAACATCTGGCGGTAATGAAGCTTCCTCGTCTATCTTTTGGACAATCTGGAGGTCAGTGATGTACACATTTTATCACCCAATAAAAGTGTGGCAAATCGAGTATTTCTTTATCTCTTCTAGAAGCATTAAATTAATGTCGAAATAGCATAAATTCGATGAACCTTAATGAAATAATTTACAAAATTTCGAAACAACTTGGCCAATATGTAAGAGCTGGTTGTTGAAAAATATGTCCCAATTGGTTGAATGGATTTAAAAGAATTCCTCAGTAATGCAGCTTCTTTATTTAGGCTTTGAATAAAAAAAGCTAAAAAAATTTTAATAATAGCTAAACCAGAGTTGGCCGGTGTGTGTCAACAAGTGCAACGAAAGCTGATCTCTAAGAGGTAATGGTCTTTGCATCAACCTACTACCGACCATTATCAACCAACTGAACCACATGGTTTGAATGCCTTATGTAAATTGCAGGCATTCTTCAATTGTTGAAGTGCCATTCACAAGCTGCTGCTCTATGTCCACACTTTTGTACATAAGTTCATTTTTAGAACCTTCGTTTTTTTTCGGATTAAATAAACCAAAATGTAGTGGATCTATTACTATACTTGTTTTAACACTGACAATGAAATATATGTCCTGTGATGAAAAGTAAAAGAAATTTCAGTGCTTGCCTGACATGTTGTGGAAGTCAATGTAATCACTTGAGGATCCACAATGTTGTGCAGGAGAAATGCTTCAAAAACAGAATTTGACCCCAATGACTTCACTACAGACATCCGGGGATGCCACTTTTCCTCTCCTAAACACCTGTCGTAGTCTTTTCTTTCTAGTACCCCCTCCCCTGACCCAAGTCTACGCGTGCACGCTTTCGCTGTGCAATTAACCGTTGGCGTACTTGACCTCATGTCTTGCTAACGGCTTACACGATAATCTGGCGGGGCCGAGGACGGTGGGAGTGGGCGCGAGGGGTCTCCTGTGTTGACTGATTTGTCGTTCATGTGTCCACCAAGAAATTTACACTTACACACCCGATTCAGATGTCAGACTCGAAGCATAATTGAAAAAGCCGTAAAGGCTTTTCGATTTTGCTAGTAGTCCTCACTGACCTATCCTGGTCGGAATTTCAGTGAAATTCCAAATCCATGACAGGCAACGCCGTCCTCCGGAAATCCCTTCTAGAACCGAAGGAATTACATCATGGAACATACAGATTTAATATCCATAGACCATTAATTCAACATTAATAAGTGTCTAAATTTATTTTAACTTGTTTTCCAATGAAAAGATTTTAATTATTCAAAGCTTGCAACTCGTAGCAAACGTAAACTGCTCGCTTGCTTTTCATTAAATCAGCTGATTCCATCTTTAGAATTTTAAGTGGCCTTTACTTGCCTATGGTCATAAGCTTCACGGACATATCAAGGGTTGCGATTAAATATTTAAAGCCACGGGCAATTCTTTTCCGCTAAATATACCTGCTCGGAGGTGTTAATGAAGACACTAGGCGGGGACAAACAACAATTCATCATTAACTGACTAATTTACGTTCCAGACCACATGAAATCACTGCGTGAGTCTTTAGGTGTTTCTTGTAACTTCACCCAAGACCATAGTATATTTGCAATTTACCCCCTTCAGAGAGTTGTAAATTTAAATGCTGAAGTAGAGGAGGCAGCCTATTTAAATTCCTTTCAATAGAAGCAGGGATATTTTAGCAGCTCACTTCACTGCCTTAGCAGGTCGATTCAGTCCGAAGTGGTAGTAGAGCTGTTCTCTTCATTGATCACGCTCGCTAACCACTCAAGTGTGAATGATTAGGTGCTATAACGAATCACCACGACACTTTAATAACTGGTACTGTGGAAACACCACATTCCATCACTCCAATTGTTTTCGACCTGTCCGGTTGCTAGGGTTGATGTGCGTGACGATGCATTATTCCTGTTTCCAATCGAAGAGAAGGTTTGTTTCTTTAAGACATCATGGAACACTTAAAGTTGCTCCCGTATAATTCAGGCGACAAAAAATGCCTTAAAACAGGCATTTTCTCTGTTTTTGAATGATGACGGGAAATGACTCGCTTGATTTAGTTACTTTTAATAAAAACGAAAGCCTAGTCCATGTTCCTGAGTCGTGTGGTGTTGACAAGCGCGATAGAAGCCGAGGTGTACAAAAATCACCGCCGATGCGATTGCGATCGCCCAAGATCACTGACTGCAGTGTATAAGCTTTGATTCTTCTAATGACACACTCAAGGTCGGTTAAATTTTTCTCGAATTTCACTTGACTTACGATTTCATAAGTTTGGATATTAAGTCTGGGAATCTATTCTGTGTACAACTTCAAAGTCCAGTGTGACAAATTTATTTATAATTATCTTGTTTTAAGGAGTGTTCTAATCAAACTTTGCACAATATATCAAACTTTGATGTGCAAACTTAGTCAATGTCAGCGACTTTATAGTAAAACTAATTAGTTGGTTTTCATTATAGAAAGAATGGGCACATTACGAAAATTCAGAGGGTGTACTCCATTTGAAATTCGGTTTTGTAAGTTGGCTTGACTTTTACTAAATAGAACCCTCGTTTGCCTTTCAGTGGATTTAAGAGTTTTCGTTGCGAAATTTACATTTTGATCAAGATTATGCTGATCTGAAAAATGCACCTATCTGAGCGGTCCGCAATTTGTGCCTAGTATTCAAGCTTGGGAACCGAGCAACAAGCTGTATCTGTAAGTTCTTAATCAGCTTCCTTATTAACTCCACAACTCGATTCGGATTCAACAATGATAAAGTTGGTATCCGCCCAATCAGGACCCACCCTTCGACAATCCTCGGAACCACAGCCTGAAGAACCACCCTGCTCCTTCCTGTGTCCTGTGCACGTTTCATTTGGCTTCTGGGCTGATATTCGCTGCCGTTGGGGCATTGTTTTATTTATTTCAGCTTCAAAAGCGGGCGTATGGAAAGAATTGCTTAAGCAATAGTTTGTCAGTGTCTTGCACGAAACCGCAATAAAAACTTATATCTTGCTATCCTGGACTACAGTCATCTTATCATTTAGCAAGTTATTAGACGCAATGTAAGTCCGACCATAATTGTAATATGGATAGCAGCATTTGCATAATTTTACGCACATGCAGTTAAAGGCAAATTTGGAGGAACGGATGTAAAAAAGATATCTAGTAAACTCTTAGTAAATGCGGCTATCATTCAAGATGGAAAATAGACACCCAGTTCTGCAAGACGACAGCTGGCGCATAACTGCCTCCCTACCGACCAATCGCACGCACACGCGCATATTCGCGCCCGTCCAGGTGGTGACCATGTGCGACACAGGCCATTTTCGATTGGTCACCAACTTCTATAAATGGTTCATGATGTATGACAAGAGGTCAAGACGAAGAAAATAAACAGGTAAGTTATTTTCCAAACTACAACGTATACCATTTTTCTTCGAACCTGCGCCATTAGTGTGACGCAGTGTATGCGTGTGTGTGTGTGACTGACAGTGTCAAGTGAATAGAGCCACTAGTATATAGATGTTTGAACAATCCATTTATTTTTGGTATTTCATATTTCAGAGATCACTGACAATGTGCATTGACCATGATAAAGCAATAATTGATCAGATTGTTGGCCAGCTTGCGTTAATTGGCGACAACATGAAATTTTTTGTACGACCACAATACGAATTCCGTCCAGCGATGGTAAGCCTATAGTACACAAAATGACTTTGCTGAAGTATTCATGACATGCTGAATAAAAGTAAATGTAAACCTATAGCTTTGTTTAAGCTTATCACCTTTTGCATAATGTAGATTCGTCACTTACTTTTTGGCACACTACTTCGCCCCATGTCAAGTGTCTTCTTGGGCATACAGACTCTTGGACAAGTGTATCGTCTACTTTTTGGACCCTGCTGAGTTTGCACTCACTTCGTGTACATTGAGTTCGCAAGCAACCCAATGACAGGAGATCGCCAGTCGAGATACTCAATGTGGAGGCCTCAGGACAACTATATGCTGCCGTAATTAAGTAAATATTTTGGTCAATGTCAACCTTTTCTATATCCCCATAAATCAAGGTGGAAAGGGTTGCACTGGACCCTGTTGTCGATTCATTTAACGTATTTGTGGCATCTCAATTAATTAGGGTCGAAATTCAGAAATTCAAAAGTTAGCGTAATTCATGGCATTAGGGCAAAAACCGAACCAAATCACCGAGATAAAATGGAAGTTCACTTCACACAACTTGAACCGAAGCTCATACAAGGTGACTTTCAGTACCACTAACAAAGAACCACTACATCGCCTCGGATTCGAAGTGGTCGGTAGTTATGCCACTATGATTATGTATAACAAATCAACCACAGGTCTGATTAACCTCTCAACAGGTCAAACACAAAAACAAAATTGCCGATTCCTAGGTGAAATTGCAGAACTGGATCTGTTGAAATGCAGCGCAACCTGTGTGGGTCCGTAATGACGCATTTCATTCCTTCTGTAGCCTTTTAGTTAAAAAGGAATTAAGCATGCAATTTTTCGCAATTACCGGTTCTAAAAGCAACTTAACTGATGATGCCAGTCTGGTTTTTTGGCATTTGACATGAATAAAACACTCCTACATATGGTAGCATTAAAAAGGTGCGCAAAATATGGCGTGCACCTAAAGCAACGATAAATGAGTTAACAGTTTTATTGACCATTAACTATATGTTGTAGAGCCACCTTCCCCCGTAAAACAATTAGGTAACACTGGAGAAAGGAAATATTTTTAATTTGGGACGATTTACATGTTCACAATCTTGTCTCGTTCCATCTGAAATACGCTTGTGATTAGAAATTCATTTATGATTTGAATACTGAGGCGTAGTGAAAACAAATCGTGAATCATTTCAGAAGCCTAGTGCTAAACAAATCTGTAAACATTCATTTGGCATGCCTTACCAAACTAAATGATTGTTAAAAAATAAAAAAAAAGTTGCCTTTACAGAAATGTATTTGTTGATACCCATTTGTTTTACCTAAGCACATCATAAGCTTCGGCTATATTTTATGGTGCTTTTGCAACAGTCCAATCAACAGAGACTCGTGGCTCGGCCGAAGGCGAACTGGTCCCTTGAAGTCGAACCACCGCGCCGATTCAGATGACGAAGTCTCCAGAAAGAGCTGCGTTTAGAAAATAATAGTCATTCATAAATACGCAGAGCGAGTATCGGGGATTGCCTAGTGTGAAGTGTGCCTTCCAGTCACCATTAAGAAGGACAAAATTTTTCCACGATGACAATGAAGCCTAAACACTCGAATGAGTGAATCCGGGAGTAGTTGAGAGTCAGAGATATTTTGCCAAATCAGTTGCCATTCAGACAATGCGACTTATTACCTCTTTTCAGAATGTATTCGCTAGCTGACAATATTGCCACTAAAATTGCATTCTTGCGTTGGAGCACTGCAGAGGGGTCAGTAGAATAGAAGTTTAAGTCGGAAACCAAATTAATACCTTTGTTGATGCTGTATCGAAAGCAGCATCCCCACGTCCATGAAAATTGATGCACACCGCTTCAATCCACGCGTGATCAGCATTTAACTGGTCATCTAAGAAGTCGTCGCTTATCTGTAACGACGTGAAAGAAAGGGCCCTGGTTATTTTCGTTTAATAGATCATGACAGGGTTAACCTTCAAACGATATCAAAATTTACCAAAGAAATGTCCATTTTATTAATGGATTTGACCAATGCATCTTTTAACGATTCTCTTTCAGAATGTGCACCACCGAAGACGTGGTTCACTCGTCGAAGGAGAAATTCTCGCATAACCCTAGCAGAGCAACTTCGAAAATCGCAAGACTCCCGATGATCTACAAAAAACTGTCGGTAAATATGTTTACAAAATTTCTTACTCAGCAATATTAGGTGGTAAAAACAAACTGCTACATACCCATGGTAGGCAGGAGCACTGACCCCTTTCAAGCATAATAACCTCGAAATCGTTCGGCGATGTGCCCTCCCGTGTGAGAGCTAAAACAATCACGTGATTGGGGCCCCAATGCGGGAGCAGTCCTTTACCCCCTAGCCCAGATCGACCTCGAGGGTTAAGGGGAAGGCCCCGAGCGCACTGAAGCCCACGTGACACATGAACCCTCTCATGTAGGCCACACCGCGAAACACCCTGCACTGCATCGTAGGTGTTGTATTGGAGCTTTGTCGGATCACTAAACATTAATGAATGGCAACATGGTGATTTGCTGGAGCGATTAAACTGTACGGGGATTTCAGTTGTGATGCTTCACACCTATTAGTCAAAAAAATCTCCCATTAGCAGCCCAGTAAATTTAAAAAATCACAAGCCTTTGGGTCAAAAAGCGATAAGCATACTGAAATTCGCAACAGATACCGACTTGGACATAGTCCAATGACAAACGAGCTGTCATGAGTTGTCAAACTGACACCTGAAGCAGCTCCTGACTGAAGGCCTGCCAGTTAATGGGGCCATTCCCTCAAGTCCGTAAGATCCACTCATTTAAGCGCCAACTGAATGTGGATCTTTCACCGAAACCGACTGCAGACGAGTTTCGTAGCAATGTGGGGTACATTAGGATTTTTTTGGCCGACAGGAAAGGTATGTTTCGATGTACTCTCCAGGTTAAGCCTTTTTCTTCATGACCCTTACAAGGGCAGGTGGAATGATCCTGGTTAAATGACCTTTAGTGCACCTGGGTGAAGTTTTTTTTTATAAAGAAGGGATGTAGGTGATTTAAATGATTTCGCTGTTATTTCAACGAAGATAGCTAAGACATTTATTGGCTAGTTATGTATTTTGCACTAAAGTACCATTGCAATATTCGACATACATTTGGGGACCATCTTCAGCTTCAGGGTACGGGAAAGCAATCCTTTCTGATTTTGAAATGAACGGTCTGTACTCCGGATAAGGAACCTAGAAGAAGGCAAATGATATTGGCGGTTTCGAATATGTGGTCTTATTCGGCTATTTTAAGTCAAAAGAAACTACGAAAGAAGCTCTGGGGCGTATTTGGCAAATCATTTGCAAGGGATGTAAGAGTTTTGTCAATTTGCTGTTGTGGCAAAATATCTTTCACAACTTGCCTAATGCCATAAACACGTTCATTCGTCAGCGTTCAAGCATACAAACTAGAAAGTAATTCCGGTGTATAGTGGTCTGCAACCAAGGTGCTACAAAATGTATTCTTACGTGTCAGATAAAATTACGAAATGATGGCAAATTCGGACTAGACTTTGTGGCTTGTACACAGAACGTAATACTAAAAGCCACCAAAGTTAACTTACTTTCCAACTGCTGAGATCGTCAGGAATGTTCACACGCATGCCTGGGCGTCGTTCAAAATTGAAGGGAACGAGACGCCACAGGCGATGGCTGAAGATAACTCGTTCGTAAAGACCGCCACTGGGCGGCATGGCTTCAGGCCTTCGGGAAGGAGGTCCAGTTTGTGTCATCGTTGGAACTGCTACGTGGTCTGGGGGAATTTCGGAAGGATATGAGTTAGCTAACACAGCCTTTACGCAGAGGCCCTCGATCCGAAGCCTGTGTGTGGAAAACAGCAGAGTGACTATCAATAAAGTTACTTGAATTTCTCCTTGACATCATGTATAATTTAAGGGGAAATCAGCTCGATAACTTACTAGCCTAATTGCAATGACATACATCCTACCATTTAGGTGCTTCTTTGAAATTGGCAAAACACGAACCACTTAGGGTGGTGCTTATGTGGACGAATCCCAATAAATAAATCCAAGTACCAGCTGCCAACAGAAGTTAATTTTAAACATGAAAGCGTAGTTGAAAACGAGGAACTTAACTAAGCCTATGACACGATGATCTTATTTTTTTCCAGTCACATCGGATCACGTCTGGAAAGAATCACAACTTATGCCACAAGAAAATGAAAGCCAAAAGCCATATCTCTATTAAGTTATTCTTTTTTGTCTCCAATTCTGAAGAATGGTACAGAATGAAGAATAAAGTGTCCACACGATTCACCGTAGTGGCATTGAAGTCAAAAACTTTCTTACTTTTCTTCAATCTTTCCTTCAATATCCTGGCAATGTTCGGATAAGCCTTCAATAGCTTTTCTAATGACATTATCAATGCTTTGGCTGGTTATTTGCTTTTTCTCTGGGCTGTGGTTTCTGCGGGCACCAACCAATCGCCGTTCACCTGGACCACTCAGGCTTTTCATTACCTAGAAGAGCGGATAAGGAAGAAATGCGACCTCCTTTTTAGTAAAAGTGACGGATTAAAAACAAGAAGAAAAAAAATATGAAAGTATGGCTACCGTAGTATGACCGTAGGTTCAAATTTATGGGGATAATCTATCGAGAATTAATGGACATCTACATTTCCCCATGTCACACGGTGCGTAATCTCTCACAGCCACCCTCACCACTAGCACCTATTTTAACTTCGCAATTTCGCAACCACGTATTCTCGTGCATATTAATAATAATACGTACAAATTTAAATGCATAAGATATCAAAATGGCAACTCTTATCGAATTTTAGGCAAGCTAATATCAACACAATTCAGGATCATGCAAGCACATGATATTAGCGTGAAGATGATGCTACTGATGAATAACGAGTAATTTGTTCCTTTTTACGATAAACCTAAGTGACATTAGGCCAGAAATTGCGTATGAAATGAAGACAAGCCATTGATTCCAAGGGATTTTACTTCACACCTTCATATTCACAGGAAATTATACGTCGAGATGTTAAGTTTAGCTTTGGTGACCCAATCAGTGAAATTGTACTTTAAGCCGACTAAATTTTTTGTGTCCTGGCTTGTACTTTTAGCCCCAAGGAACAATAAAAGTGTTTTAGGCATTTTCATTCATGATGTCCCGTCAATCCAACAGTATCCAATTGGGAACACACTTGATTTTGGCTCCTTTGGAGCTTCCTTAGCACGAATGTCAGCTTTTTCATCATGCTAACTATTCTCTCCAGGCGATCCTCAAAATTCGACATTTTTTCCACCTGTGAACTGAGGGCATAGAACCTTCCCTCGATGAAGTCAGTGTCGGGTCCGAAGATGGTGGACAGATCCTCCAAGAGGCGGTCGCCAAGTCCCAGACCCGCAATGGAGCTGCCACGCTTATTCCCGGCCCCAGTGGTGCCACCGCCGCCACCCCCCGCCATTCCAGCGGCACTCTTCAAACCTCTTGTGATAATCGTGGACCTCGAGCTTTCGCTTCGGCGTGAACCAGGTAGGTCAGAATCCATCTGGGAACGAAGCACGTTCTGGGCCTTCATAAACTCCCATTTCATTAGCTTTGATTCTAGTGAATAGTTGCCGCTGAAATTCCGACCTAAGAAACGAAAATATTTTCACGTACATCGCGAGACAGGTCGGTAGTCATTTTTAACGCAGACTTTCTGGTTACCAGTAAGGCCATAATTGGCTTGAGGGTATTTTTGATGGAATTGATGTTGCAGACCTAAATAATCGTTTGCTTCAGTTATAAAATTGATGTAAGTTCTACTTTTTCATAAGAGGGCACAGAGTAAGTACTCTGCACCCCTAGCTTAAAACTGTCAGTAGCTTATGCGCTCCACTAGTAAAGGTGTAAGTGGATCACTTTTACACACGCGTTAGGTAAAAAGAAGAGCAGGCTCAAGTACTGGTTACAATGTGTTGACAGTTCGATCATTCTACACTCTTGAGCCATGCAACTATGGCTGCCTTATTTTACGTTCGCAATATTCATTAATTCGCGCCTGGAGCACCTTCCTGTTGATTGCCTGTTAGACTTTAAGGAGTTTAGGAAATGCTTTTTGTGTTTTGTAATATAACCTAACGCCAACAGAAGGTCGATTGGTTAACTGAGTTGTTCTTTTTGTTTATTTAATAAGGATAGCGATATCCACCCTCCCCATTACAAACACAAAGCTTTTCCAAGAAAAACGTTTCCGTTTGCGGAATTTTCATGTTGGTGCAGAAGTAATGTCCATCCACAAGATTTTACCTAAACCTCCATCGCTACGCTTAAAAAAATTTTGCTGTGTGAACATAACCTTCATGAAATTGGCACTAGTTAGTTAATGAAACATTCGGAACTATAATGAAAAACCAAGTGTAAATAAATTCTACCCATATCAGCTTAATACAAAAACGCACATCACTCTTCTACCAACTTGTTAGAATGTTTGTTCTGGAGGACATTTGTTATTCGATAGACGTTTTCAGCCTTCTCTTAGAGGCGAATTGCGCGTAAATTTGTTCGTAGTTACTAGTTTAAAGCAAATTCTAACATGGAGAACAAAAGCGAAAATTTTCGACATGTTTCAAGTTCCTTACTTCCCTAAAGCAAAGAAAGCTTCAAGAATTTGCAAAAATGTGTGGCTTATGACGTTGATTGTCCGCATTAGAACTGATTAAAACAATTCTGCTTTGGACATTATTCACTAAAAAGTGACCAACCTTCTGGCCAACCCACTGAAATTGAAAACGATCAAATCAAAGCCATAGAGATGTGCAAAAGTTAGATACCAACACAAAACAATAGGAAATCAATCAGTATATCTTAGGCTGGTCAAGAAGCTTGATGTTTGAATTTTGCATAAATTTAAAGTACACTTGACACGATGAATCAATAGCTGCGGTACGAACCTTAACAACAACGAAATTTCCTTTTTGAAAAAATTAATCACCATTAATAATGAAACTTGGATAATCTACTATAACAGCGATTAAAATCGCCAGTGGCTGGTGAGTGATGAAAAACTTTAAATCAATCCACCTACTTAAATACATCTTTCCGTCGATCTACTTGGATCCCGATAACGTTGTCTTTTCGGTTGCTTTCCAAGGAAACAAACAATCGAACCAAATGTTTACAGTCAAAGACAAATAAAGGCACAAGAAGCAAATTTTCTAATCGCACAGAATTTTGTATTCCACCAAAACACATGTCTCTAGCAACCCGTAGAAAATTTGTTGAAGCTACAACTAGAAGTGATGTTGTCTCCCACAAAGCCCTGATCTACACCATCAAACTATTAATTATTGCTAAATTAGTAACTCGTTGAATGGTTCAAATTCCAGTGATTATGATCGATTCTTGTACTTAGTCGTCTTGTGTTTACTAGATTCAGACCTTCTATGAGCATGGAATCATGAATCCACCAGACAAAATTGCAAAGACCTGTGGGAGGAAAAAGTAAAAACAAATAATTAATAGTGATTTACTTTTGCTTTTACTTTGGAAATTTATTCTACATTACAAAACCAAAAATAATGCTTTCAACGCCTTACAGCAAATTAAATCTGCTGTACCATGCTCCGTCCCACCCTGGTAGCGGTTGTTAGTGAAAAAATTTCTTTCTCGCCCACACATTGTTAATACTGCACTCGCTACACCTCAAATACTGGGCTATTCATTGTTGACTCAAAAAGGCATTAAGGGTATACGTTGCTTCACACTTCCTTACAAAATGGGTCGTCAGCGATCTCAGGTTCAAAATCATCCAACCCAGGAAAAAAAACCAGGAGGCGTTGAATGGCTGCGTACAATAACTCCCCTATGTACCACAAAAGTGTGAATGGCGGTGCAACAGATGGGCGGTCCACACATTCCTGTATCATCTCATAGCGCTGGTAGCTCCAAAAGTATGTCGATGATCCTTCTATTTCAAAATAGGTAGATCTGAAATGCAAATACATCTAGCAGTGAATTCTCCATCAAAGGGCCTCGAGACTTCATCTCATTACTTAGGTTGTGACTTCATAAACATGAATTTAGCTTGACCGTTGTTGGTAGCACATAGAGAAGAACCACATTACAGCGCGATATCCACTTGATTCCCATACATTTAAAAAAGAACGGATTTTGGTTTACTGTGTTTTAGGGAAATGGACTTACGTAAATGTAGCAACGAGGAGATTTATCATGAGTAGTTGCGTCAAGAGAATGAAAAAGCTCAAACTGACGATGGACAACTTTCTGGATGAAAATTGGGGACACAAATCACCATCTCTGCATCCACTATCTGCAAAGGAAGAAATGACTGACCGTGAAATTTGTTGGGATACCGACCCTATCAGTCTTCTGACTTATTTTAATCGTGACGTACAATAAACGAACAATCACCAATGTGTTTTTTTCTTCTAAATAATCTGAAAACTGGAAGCAGGAGTGTTAACGAGGACATGAAAAGCGGAAAGTGATTTTTCAATCAAAATACAAAATACCTCAAACAAATTACGATATACAGTTTTACTGTGTATTAGTTTATGTGAAAAATCATTGAGCCCGCTCCAGTTACCCACCGTACACATTTTGATTGCTGACTTGCGGGTACCAAAGTAAAGTCTGAAATCTAGATTTTGGTCTTTTTTGGTTATTTTGAACAGCAGCGCTCCAGCCTTCAGTATTACGTGCAAACGTAAAATACGCACCTTCGCCTTCGAGGATATCCAGGCCAAAATTACCCAACATCTGAAAGTAGGCTGTCATAAAGAACTCGTAGACGATCTTGCCCGCCGTCATGCTTTTCATTGTCATGTTCCGGGCTGAATTTAAATATATCAAGAATTTTTTACAAATCTAGCTATGAAGTTTGGTACTTGTGCCTGCAAGCAAACTTACATAACGTCTTCTCTGAGTAGTGTGTGTAGTAGCCATTAGGATAAGAAATGACAAAGGAAGAGACTCCGTAACCTGCCTGGATCACGACTAAGAGCAACAGGAATGGTAGAAGGTCGTTCACCACCTAAAAAATAGTTTCGAAATCAAACAAAGTGCTGTGTAAGCGGTCCCACGTTCTATGCATAATTTTTTTTTCCAAGCTGTCTATCTGAAGACTGGATTAAAGAGTAGAATTCATCTTCCTTAAAGTGTTTCATAGTACTTTAATAAGGTTGTTATCCGATTCCCTTTAAACAATCTGAGAACCATATATGTGTTTAGTTTTGCACACTGTTTCATGAGCCAATTAGGAACTAAAGCCATTATTAAGGGCTGGTCTGAAGTTGGTAAAGCGCAATAGAGGCAAAGACTTAGTCGAAGCCGGTTTTGACCAAATACGTGGGCTATAAATTGACAAATGAATAGTTCAGAGCTCGTACATCACTAAACTTGGATGTTTGTCATGTGTTGCTGTTGTTCTTAATAATATCTCGTCTTAAAGTCTTGATGTTCAGTTTTTTTTATCGCTCGAGACAATTGGTTGTATGACGGCATTGGTTATGATACTAAATGGATTTCGGATGCAGAAACTAGGTGAAAGTCAGTCATAGCAGCCAGGCTTGTAAGCGAATTCCACACATACCATCCGATTGATCATAATAAGCTTCGGTCCTAGCACGATGCTAAAGCTGAAAATGTACATAAGTCGGACAAAGAAAGCGAAAAGGCTGAGTGCAAACATAACACGAGCAAGGGTGAATCTTTCTTCCATCAGGAGGAAGTAGGGATGATCAACAGTGAGGTCATGTGCACACAGGTTTGTGTAATCCACAAGGACAGAGGAAGGAGTGCGCAGCCCTGGCAATGCTGCCCACTTTGGCAGACTGCCCAAATGTACTTCAGGTTCCTAGACGGAAAAACACCATTGTTGCTGCCAACAATAACTAGCAATTCCTCTCCAATTTACATTTGTGTAAACAAACCTCTGAAAAGGGTGACATTGGGGTTGAATTCTTTGATGCACATGTGGTGTTATCCCAAGTGGCATTAAGAAGCCTTCTAGCGTCAACAATGTCGACATCACGTACTTGCACGTACGCTAGACTGCGAAGCACGAAACCCCCAAGGTAGAAGATAATGGCTATGCAGTCGAGTTTATTCCATCCATCGCCGAGATACTCCTTCAAACTGGCCCCTGGACCAAAGGCCTACCATCGAGAAAAGATATCCTTGGGTCAATTAATTTCCTTTTTATTTATGGATACATTTGAATGATCAACACTGTCAAGGAACTGAAAAGCAATTATTTTTAATTAAAATCTCCATTTTTGACGTGATACATTTCGAAATATGTTTGCAAAGTGTTCTCAAGTTATAACAAAATGCATTTGTAAGCACATAAAAACCTGATGTGTCATAAATTATAAATACTGTTGTCCTTATGTTATGGGTCATGCAGTACAATTGCAACTCTATGTCATCTATAAAGTTACCTGCTTGAGTTCTTCGAGCAATAGTGCCAGAACCATTATGAAAATAAGGCCTTCTTGAATTGTATATGAGATGCTCAAGTTTTGCAGGATCATGTTACTGAAGGAAACCAAAAATGCGACGTAGAATATCTAGAAAGAAGAACATGAATGAACTGAATTTAAAGGCCTAATATTCAGAACTACTAGGGTATTTGAAAAATACATATGTGTTTTCCGTTTAACCACGATCTGTCCTAACGAATTCAAGGGAAAATAATAAGCAACCATTTTTAAAGTCACATCTTAACCCAAATTCTCAAGATACTTGTGAATCTGAAAGTACAGCAGCCATCATAAGGCGTTTTGAGAAAACCTTCATGCGATCAGGCCTCTCTAACTAGCCCCACCACTCGTTCGGTCATTGTACCACGTTCAAGTGATACTAGATAGTAAATCACACAAAAGTTCACTCCATAAATCTGAAGTTTTTCTCAGATTAGACGTGACAATTTTTTGAATACTGCAAAGTTAAGAACACAACTTACGGTATTGTAGAGGAAACGTGTAACGGGTGCGTGATAGTACTGCGTAATATCCTTAATCTGCCGGTTAAACCTAAAGCGATGGAGGGTGAGGCATAGGCATGCGCAGGTTACCATCGTCGAGGTGTTTTGAACAGTGATGGAGGAGGCTTGCGCCTCTTTCGGTTCCCCTTGTAATCAAGCTCACTGGAAAATGTAACTTCATCCTCGGTGTGATCGCTAGCTTCCATATCACTGGAGCTTGACTAGAAAGTGAAAAAAAGGCTAGGGATGAGACGTCAATCCAAAACATAGTTTCTGATATGTAATAATTTTCATCGAGTAACCTAATGCAAGTAGGGCCACGTAAGGTTCATCGTGCAAGAACAGCCGACGAGGACAGCGGCGCCAGAAGGCTTCCAGTGGTTTCAAAATGGCCTTTATCGGTAACCAGTTCAAATGCTGTAACTACATCTTTGAGTGTTTTTAGGCAAATGAGACGAATGCGTTGGAGAAAATTTGTTTAGAGTTGAGAAAAGTGGTTGGATTAATATTTGTATAGTAGCAGTCACAATCCAACATTGCAGACATTTATAACTTGCATGCAAACTACTTTGTTTGTAAAACCACTGATCAGAATATAGAAAACCGCCGATATCATACATCTTCAACATGTAGGAGGGACTTCTGGGAGTCGTTGCGCGCGTAGGGCATCACCTGAGGCAGGATAAATGGAAATAGGAGACCAAAAACGGCACCACATAGCAGCTAAAAAGAAACGAAAATATTAAAAAAACCAAATTTTTCAATCTCTAGTTAGCAGGAATAGTTTCTTTCACATATCTCTGCATATAAATGTCATAGATTTGTTTTAAGGGAACATTAGTACAGACTTAAAATAATCAATTAAGAATATTGAGAAATCTGGCAGAAAATGGGATTTAGTGCGAGGTTTTAATTTGCAGGCTCGAGCATTTTTATGGTTAGTGCCTTGTTCTAACAACTCTGACAAATACTTGACTAAGACTTGTGCAATAAGTCAAAGAATGAGTAAAGGCTTGCTTTACAGTAAGCAATATGAGTTAAATTGTAAAAATTAGTAACTGTTAAATTTTATTGAGTTTCATGGAACCATGTCTTCCGACACACTTGCAGTAACTATGACTAATTCTAGTTACCATTTTGCAAAGTGGAAATGAGTGCTTTCTGTGTCTATTCAAAATAATCATAAAAACATGAGTAAGAGCAAACCAAAAACTTGATTTTAACGCTGAAGGCAAATGAAGAACCTTTATGCTGTTTAAATTTCAAAATCGAAGGTCAATTCAATTCTTAGAGGCGCAAAGACACAAATATGTTTCAACGATTCAACATATAGAACAACCTGGTGAGTTGCTGTGTTTTCCTTTGAAAAATCTGATTTGGAGTAATAGGCGAGTTTTAGCATTAAAATTAACGTGTGCCAAATTTATTTGCAGACAACTTAAACTATGGCAAGGCGAAAAGGATAACTATACCTGGAATGTTGTGGTCTTTGAAGAAAGTTTTCCCATCCAGACCTCAGAAAGGAAGTCCTGACAGCAGGGATGTGACATGAAGTGAATGCAGCCACCTCGGGCAGCCAGCCTAATCACTGCACTATGACCGTACTCTTGTAACTTGCGAAACAGCAGCATCTTTGCCCGCTCGTTGTCTTCCGCATAACAGGCCTCCAACACCTCTTCTGCCTTTCCTTCAAATATTCTATGTCAAGATGTAGTGGTTAAAATTAAGGCAAAAGGTTTTGGTTATGTCATACCACTTTAAGATCATTTTGACGCAAGATTCTTTACATATCCACAGCAGTATCAAATAGGTCAAGGTTAATAAAGTGCTTGAACTTCGGTTGAACACGCATGGGCATGGGCAGCGCAGTTGTTCTTTTGAGATGAGTTGTTCCTGCTGATCACATTCTGCAGCCACCCTCTAAATACATGAGTTGTCGACTAGAGTTCGTGGAGCTCTCAATCCATACGTTGCATCATATCATGCGACACTCAAAATCCAAACACACACCAAAGAGAACATACTACTCAAATAAGCAGACCGTCATCTGGGCCAAGGTTTCATTTTCAAAATTTGTTTTGATTGTCAATTAAACTAGGTCGTTGTTACTGTCCAAATGTCCTTCCACCAGTGATGTACGACTGAAGAGACTTTAAACCCGTTCAAAAGGATTATTTGTGTACTATCAGTTCCGACCAAACACAACCGTTGATAAGGACTCGTTCGGAAAGGTCAACTAGTGGATGATCTACACAAATTCTTAATGATATCCATGATTTGCTTCAAAACTAGTACGCTGGCAAAGTGATTTAATTTTATGAGGGTGAAACCCAGTGCTTCCTCAAGTACAGAGAGCAAAATGAGTAATTTCCACCTCAAAGAAATAACTGATTAGCAGATTTCCATCAATGCCTCAGATGGCCAGCCGATAACTTTCTGATTGAGGGATAAAAACAGCAGATTTCTAGATGCTTCCTGATGTTCCATGCAAAACTGCTGACGCCTTTGGTGTAATTTTATCTCTTTTTTTAAGTTTTCGATGTTTAAAGTGTAGCCACCTTTGCCATACTCATTCAATAGATGCTCCCCTATTTATACTCCGAAAGTTGGTCTCGTGTTTGCGTTAAGGCCGAGACGGGCAGGTCTCAGGTCTAAGTCGAAGTTAATTCAAAGTAACTTCAAAGGTAAAGGGTTGACACTAAATCAGGAAGAATGAATTGGTAGAAGAGATAGATCAGGCGACCATGAGGCAAGCTTTCATATGAGAATACCAACCTTGCGTAGCGTTCAAACTCCAACTTTTGGGAGATGTCGGTACAGACTGCAGCGAGCTTGCTTAAAAGGAGGGTGCAGAACATTGCGCCACCGATCGGTTCCTAAGTCATAAAGAAACTCACAGGATCTTGCAAAAGTCTAAGGTAGTTTATGAGCACATATTCTTGGGTTTCTTCCGGTACACCTCTTTTTTCAGATTTGCTTGGCGTAAAAAATCTCGCAATTGTCAAGCTGGCGGTACTCACATTCATTTGATTAGGGATCCGAAATGCAATTTGGATAGTGTGATTTGCTTAAAATGTACACTATAAAATCATAAGGGCTTTTTTTGGACACCGAGAAAAGTCGAGACTGATTTCAGGGACTCAATAATGTAAAAAGTGCACCCAAACAGTGAGTGGCAAGTGCTGTTGAACAATGGGTGAATAAATGAATGTTTCTTGTAGCAAAACATGTGGGCTTATGTGTGGGCATGTGTGTTTATACTGGTAACACCACGGAAGGTAATAAACAGTCTTACATTTGTAGGAAGCATTTAAACAAATATCTACCTTTTCATAACCCCAAAAAAGAACTGCGAGTTTCAGCTTTCCAAGCAGGATACACAAGAGCATCAACTCTCTTGCTGGACGTTCAAGACGAACTTTCTGCATTGCTGCAAAACCTATTTAAACATGAAGGAATAGAATAATACATGATTTATTTTTAAATAATCTGAATGGGTTGCTATTGGTTGAACTTACTTGCTAACTTTTCAGGCACACATAATTCCATTCCTACAAAGAATGTGTGGAATAAGGTACATACAAAAGCTAAAAAACATGACTTCTACGTTGCGGTAGATACTTGACAAGAGAGATAACAGTGAACTCGAAGAGAATAATCACAGCCCAGAATCGGGGTTTCGTATTGCAGATCCTGAACACCCAATAAAAATCCCCACCAGCCTCACGACCACTGACCATATGGGAACAGGGTACGTCAATTTCACGGTGGTAGCGATAGATCCCAAAAGGAATTTGTCCGGACAAAAAAGTTGACAATGCCAAGTGGTCCAGATTTTAAAGAGGAATCGTCAAAGTGCTTAACTCCTACACGTATAGCATAAGTTAAGGCCTTCTGCGGATTTTTGTGAAAAAACAAGGGGTTCTGGAATTGGGCTTACGTTGGTTAATGTTAATTCCTCGAAGGCGTTCGTAAAGACTCCGTTTGTCTTGTGCCAACCGATGTCGCCGCCTTCTCTCGCTCTCCTCCGCCTTGACGGCTTCGCGTCGTCGCGCCTCCGCAGAGCGCAGGCGACTGCGTTCGGCCGCGGATAGCTTAGACACGGTCATTCGGTGGTGCCCTCTGTGGCGTCCCGCAAAGCTCGACTTACGTAGCGCCGACAGAGTGTCATCCATCGATGTCGATGACGGTGGGTCTGCGTTAATTGACTGCCGCTTTTCCATCTGTTCCGTGTGTTCTGCCATTGCTGACAAAACGAGAAAATATTCGACAAAACTAATAAATATGCAATTATGATATCCTGTAATATACATTAAAAGCTATTTTCATCTCTTTTTTCAAAATGGTTTGATTCAGCCTTTGTTTCCCAGATAATTTCGAGCTGAATGGCAAAATAACACAGAAATTCGATTATTAAATTGTTAGCACTCACGTTGTTCACACAAATTTTTGATTTCAAACTGAGACTCCTTGAATGCAATATTTACATGACCACCCGTTCGCTTGGGTTTAACCTGTTTACTTTTTGATCGCGAAGTCACATCAAAGTCTTCCTCATGGACAACAGGAGCCTTTGACCAGAAGCTTGCGCCGTTAGAGTTGATTTTGTTATCACTCACGGGCACAAAAAGACGCGAGCCTTTTCCATCATCATCTTCATGATCTGAAAATTCCGAAACTAATGTTTAGATTATTTATACGCTGAGAACAATATAAATAACACCCCACTTTGCTAGCCTGATATTTTTGAGGCGATTCATGGAAATCAGTACAAATTTATGTAGATCATCCACAAGCTGACACTTCCCAATGAGTCCTTAACAATGGTTGTGCTTGATCGGAGCTGGTTATACACAAATAATCTCACATTATCATTTGCAAACCTAACGAGTGTTGTTACATGGTAAATAGCTTCCCACCATCGCAATAGGTTTGTAAACATTACATCTATCAAATAAAAAGTGATTTTTAAAGACCTACAATGCTTTCGTCTTGGTGGAGGTACACAGGTCTCTTGACCATTTTCAAGTGGCACGACAACACCAATTTTTCGGTAACACCGAGGGCCCTGCGTGACGATCCCAGAAGGCTTTCTTTCAGGGACCTCTATGGCGCTATTTGCCTCAGAAAAACTTGCTTCAGCACCGTGTGGAATCGCAACGTATGATAAATGTGTTTCTGAGGTTTGTTCATGTTGCGTGCCATGTTCTGGGCTCAGCGGTGCAAAGTAAGAGCTCTTCTTGCTTATCCATGCTACAAAATGAAAATTCAGTACACTTCGCGATATGCCAAAAATAGACGCTAGTTTAATTTGAAGGTTCAAATATGCGGCAATTAGTGGTCCTTTGTTGTAAGTATTGGACAACTCGTACATTCATAGAAATACTTCTAAGACAGGCTCAGGTTCCGGTGAAGAAACCCTTTGGCTTTTGCTACACCTCTTCCCTGTCTCGGTTTAGAGTCACACTTCTCTGTTATTCAAAATTAGGCAAGGCACTGCAAAAAACAAGGATTGATTATGACTAAAACATTGAAACCGAAAGGTAATGACAATAGTGACCTCTTTCCATAACCATTGAAACAAATAATCCAAGCATGATGGAAAATATGAGCATCTGTCATTATAGTAAAATTTGCATCCTAATCAGAATATTTGGGGGCATTAAACAAAAGAAAAGGAATGCAACTGAACAAAGACCCAATTTTACTTCCATGTGTGGTATATGTGAAATTCGGACAGCAATTTTGTCGGCTCCTGCTACCTTATGAGCAAAGCATAGATGCACCTTAAAAGAAAACTTCCGAATAAAAACATTACTTTGAGCTTTGATGCGTTCCAGTGAAGCTACATTGATCTTTTCATGCAAATTTGGCCTTAAATGACGGAGTTCACCTTTGACGTCAAGAAAATACTAAATATTTTTACTAAAAGTTGGATCAAAAGTGGGCAGAATATGAAAGATGACAATGGATTTAACGCTTACGATTTACAGCAATTGGTACCTCTTTCTCCTCCGCTTCATGTCGAACTACTGCCCTCTTGATCATCTTTCGAAAATGTTTACTTAAATAGTACGGACGATAGAATTCGCCAAGAAGATGCTTGACCATGCGCCCGACATCGCGAAGCATTACCTTAAGCAAATAAAATAGCATATCTGTCTGAGATTTCTCGATATGCCCAAGTGAACTAGGACCAGATTATCGGTAAGCAAAGTCTAGAATGTCTTGAAAACGTTGCTTTTCGTCTGATTTCGGTGCCTTTAGTTACTAATATGCACACTGAGTTAATCTATCTTCTCTTGAAATATCTGGTTTTGCCCAACTCACCCAATCCATTTTATAGATGCGACACGTTTCCCAGATCCGACGTATTGTTTCAAGTTTGGAGTCCTAAAAAGGCCAAGTTCATATATATTAAGGCAAACGCATTGAGGTTAGATTAATAATGCTCACCTTCTTTTGAATGCTTGCTGTGTAAAGTTTCTCAAGTGTGTGGACGGTTAGAAATGCTTCCAAATCGAAACCATTTTCCACAAAGAGGCTGACAAATGCCTCTTGGTCATTAAGTATTGCGTCAAACATGAAACTGTCCAAATCATGTCGCTACAAAAGAAAAACGATGATTAAGTGAGTAGCCTTATTCTTGTTAGCTGGAGTACACTGTAGAACAAACCTTCCAGTGACGGCCTTCAGTGAAGATTTTTTCCTTCGCTATATCAGCTCGGTTTAGGCGAATCGTGACCTCCAGCTGTTCAGTATTTAACACACTCAATGGTGTTTCTAGCCCAGCTAAAAGGAGGATATCTGAGACTGGTAGCATATAAAAAAGAACTAATCAGTTGTAATATTGCTACTAGCTAAACTTGAACACTGTTCTCCTGCATAAGTCTAGCATGAAAGTTCGAATAGCAAAGTGCATGCACCCAAAACCCTGATTTAGTACACCTAGTTCCACTTCGGAGACCCAACTCTCATTCTAAGTGGGTGTTTTCCATACTGCCAAAGAAAACCTTTGAAAACTTCCTGACTGAACTTTGAATAAAACAATTTTGGTTTGGGATTTAACACCTAAGGCTCATTCAGTGGAAAGATAATTAGGACATTTAAACCAACTGATGCGGCCAATTGGAGTCCACTCCAGTATAAAATCAATGCCGAAATTGGTTAATTCCTTGCAATACAAGTCAGGATTTATCCAAATAAGCTTTATAAACTGAAACATAATTAAAGCCCACCACTGCTTAGGAGAGCCGATATCACGTAGCCATCCATATCGGTGTCGTCGCTGTCAAAAACAGACACCAAATGGTTGTATTCCTCAGTTATTTGGCGTAAAATTAAAACTTCCTCCATGTAGTCAGCCAAATTTAGCGTTTCAACTTTAGCCGAAGGATGATGAAGCTGGGGACTGGGGAGTTTGAAGGACACCCGAGAAGATCGTCGAGATGTGCGGGGAGTCCCGCTCGAGCTGCTGACCCGTCTGGCCCTCGCAGGAGCGGGAGGAGGAGCAGGAGACTCTGCAGGCCTCTCTCTTAAGTAGAACGCCCCGAAGTCTTGTTCGTCAGTTTCTTTTAAGATGCTGGCAATTCTGTAATACAGATAGTGCTCTTATGCAAAGCACTTTAGGCGATCAAACAAGTCATCCCCTATGGAATCTCATGACTGAATTGCAAAATGATCAGGAGATTTTGTTGAAGGTTTGGGCATGTGATCTGAACCGCACCGATTTGTACTGATCCGATTCCGCTGCACTGACCCACGGAAAGATCAAGAAGGACCGAAGATGGAGGAAACAACCGCCTGCTTGATGGCTCAACCTGGTCGTGTTTTAGTGTGCGTGTTTTGAAAGTCGGCCATGACTACTGCAGTCGTTGATCAAAACGTTTTAGGTGAACCAGTTGGTTATACAAATGACTGAATGGCCAAATGAGTGAAACCGGAGGCGGGAGCGTAGGAACACAGACGACGCCGCATGGCTGTGAAAAGAGAGGCTGTGTGTTGGGGTATGCGGCGACCGGGTTGTTAGTCGTGAATGAACACGAATAATTCTGCTTTTTATTGCAGTGCGTAACATTATTCCGGACCTTAAGGCGTCATGGCAACGAACTCAAACGGAAGCGAATTACTCAGCGTTAACATGTCACAATTTCCCTTAACACCCACAACATTCGCGTGTAAACTTGGTTCTACCACCATACAACTGGTCAGATGCCACCCACACACTCATCTCATGGAGCTTCAGCAAAAATATTTAAACTTATGCAATTATTTTTTAACATGTCGGAGTTATAAAGTCGTAACCTTGTCACAAACATCCAAGGCCTCTCATTATAACACCCCTGATTTTCATGTTGTCTATCGTGAGTATAATGTGAAATAGCCTTAAAACTGCCCCTAGCAACCAAGACTAAAAATCTGTAATAGTAAAACTTCAGTTCAAGAAAACTGGCCAAACCTGAGCGGAAATGATGCAACAAAACAGTCTGCAAATTGTGAATAAAGCCATTCAACCAGAGTAAAGTAACTCTTGAATACAAACTGTTCCGATCAGATATCACCACAATTTGCACCTCCGCATCCTTCTGTGATTTGCAACAATAGCCAACACTTTGCCGGATTCCGTTGACACCGTTTTGTACAATCATTACCATGCAGACGCTATTACCACTTTTTTAGGTTAGCAAAAGCTTGTTGATGAGAAAATCTATCCACTATAAATGATCATAAAGTTCTGTGGCTCTTTCGCATCACAGTCCACAGTAAGTGGAAACAGTGTATTCTGGGAAAATAAAATAAATGATTCACTTACTTATAATTGATTTCATCTTCGGACATGTCTTCTCCAAGGTTCGCAATAAAATTGTTCAAGTCGACGACACTGCTGATGACACTAGCCGCGCCTCCACTTCCCTTATAAAAACATGATTACTAGATTGCCTCTATGCTTTCAAAATAAAACCCCCAATAAACGAT